GGCAAACTGAGGGGCATGATGGAGTGGCGGCAGCGAAGGCTGGGGGACGGCAATGTTACTCTGTGTGGATAGAGAAAGATGTGGGCTTGCACTTGTGTGATTTGCAGATGGTTTGAGGAGGATTAATTAAGGATGTTGTGGTGCATGCCGTGGATCCTAGCAAACCGTAAGATCCATCCATGTGAAGATGAATCGACTTTTGACGGTGGCTTGGCTACTGGTGAGTAACTTTGTAGAAGGTGGTGCTTATGTGGAAGGGCTTTCCCTCCATATGGGAAATTAGTTGAGTTTTGATGTTTTAGTGCTTAGTGATGACTTGGGGTTAGGGACTTTCTCGAGCTTTTCATCTCGGGTGTTAGGTTTTATTAGAATAACTATGTCTTGGTTTATGAAACTGAATGGTAGCTTAATTAAGGTTATGTAGGGTTAACTTGATGACTGATGAGCAACTCTTTTTGGTCTTTTAGAACTTTCGTAGTAATAAACTCTTATGGACTAGGTGGGATTTGAGGGCGGTCATGTCATATTCTGTTATTACTTAGTTGTATATTCTTTAATCATCAATGATATTTTCTCATAGAAAATAAAAAATAAGAGTTAGGATTCATTGATATACAATATTTACATATATTATTTGTATAAAATTTTAATTAATTATTTTTTTATTATAAATAATAATAAATAAAATTAAAAATTTATAATAATAATATAATATAATATAAACAAATACATATAATATATATTAAATTAAAAAATAAATAATATAATAATATGTTATAATTATAACTTATAATGTACTATTCTAAATATAACATTTTCGTTTGCCTAGCCTCATTGGTAATTTGTCCTTATTTCATTTTATGTCTTTCATCTATTTCCTTATTTTATTCTGTAATATGAATTTGAGAACCCTTTCTTCCTTTCTTCGCTCTAGGAAGCAAGTGCAATTCCTTTTGCTGCATTGACTGCCTGGAGGGCTTTAAAAAGTACTGCTAGGATAACTGAAGGGTATGCAGTCTTACTTTGCTTGAGTCTGTGTTCTGGTGTTTCATTCCCATTTATTTCTCAAGGCATTTATCATGTTGGGATCACCAGTTGATAGGCAATTGTGAGCGTAAATTTTGGTGGAATTGTATAATACAGAACAAATACACAGCAAGCTCTTGAAACATAAAGCACTTAATCATATTGCTGATTGAAAGTTTGAAACACAGGACAGCAGCTTGATTTGAGATGGGAATTAAATATGCTCTTATTCAATTGCAAACTTGATATTGAATAGATGATATGGTTGTTAAAATAATTAGATTCTTTGAATGCTATGAAGACAAAATAACTCATAACTTTATCGGTGGAGAATATAAATGGGTATGATGTCATCTTGCTTCTGTCATCATCTTCAAGGACCTTTTTGGTTGAGGATAAAGAAAGATACTGCAATATCCTGACTGGAGTTTTATCATGTGT